GCGGCGAAGCTGGCGCTGGGTCCGGGCGGGGAGGCGGCCGGCGGCGCGGTAAGGATGGAGGCAGGCGGTGCTGGGTCCTGAGTTCCCGTGTGGCCGCGCTCGGCGCCACGGCTTGCGCTGCTTATCGCGGCGGGGAGGGAAAGGAGCGCGCTGGTTCTTCCTCAGGGGCTGCCCTGGATTTGCGGGGAGAGCGGGGCCGTGACTCACCCTGGGGAGCCCAGCCTTGCAGCGCTGACTAATGCGCGGTGCCGACGCAAACAGCGGGGAGAGCGCAGCGGGGCTGCCGGGTGTAAAGAGAATGAGCGTGCTACGGGAATGCCCCAAACCAAGCCAAGCCCAGCTCGGSAGCCCGTTTGCAGTGCTTCTACGTCAGTGTTTCTTTAAACGCAGGATGTTAGTATGACTGAGCATTAAATGCTTGTTTCTTAGCCCACTGTTTTGCTGATACCAGCGCCCTTCTCCCTTTTATTCTGTGAYTGCTCGGCCATGACCAGAGCAGAGAGATGGAGCCCTTGATTTCCACTCTGCTTCTCACCTGATCCTTGGGTGATGATCTTTATCTCGGTCGTGTTTCTCGGGTTACACGGGGTTACATGGAACTGCTGGCCTTTCACCTCAGAGATAGTGTCCTTATCTCCAGGACACCTCTGGCACGGTCATGCAGGAAGTGGAGATGTGCTCGAAGTTGAGTGAGTGGGGAGAGGAGGAAGGCAGCGTATGTATCCTAAAAACATTCGGGGAGATTCTTTTGGGTATAGGTTGTTTTTCTCGTGGCAAATGTACATTTGCATTTGAAGTCTTAAAGAGAACCCACAAGAGAAGCATAGATCTGAAATTAATCTACACTTGTACCAGGTAAAAAAAAGAAAATTGATTTGTGTGATTATTAGAGAAGGTTTGAAAGGCAAGAACTCAATACCTGCCAATTCTGTTGATCCTTTCTGATATCTGAGAAAGTGTGGCAGAAAGGGGAACAAAAAAAAAATCCAGATATTCTTCCCGTCACCCCAAAAGAAACCTAAATTGTGCTCTGCACTGACAGAATGGCAGAGCATGGAATTACTGAAAATGTTGACAACATATTCTCTGAGTATTTTTCTATGTTGAAATTTATGAAAGTATTGCCCATTTGTTCAGGGATGTGTTTCAGTGCTTTTTTTTTTTTGAATGTGCTATGATAAAGTGTCATGTCATTGACGTGGAATGTTGCCAGAAGGTCAAGGGCRATGATCCTTCCTCTCTATTCAGCCCTAATTAAGCCACACCTGAAGTTTTGAGTCCAGTTCTGAGCTTTCCACTGCAAAAAATAAGAGATGGTGCTGCTGGAGAGCCCAGCAAAGGATCATTAAGGTTAGGAAGGGACCAGAGCATCTTTCTTAGGAGGAGATGCAGAGAGAGCTGGGACTGTTCGTCATGGAGAAGAGAATGTTCAGGGAGATCTTATCAATGTGTAGAAATACCTGCAGGGAAGGTGGACAAAGAATGGAGCCAGGCTGTTTCCAGTTGTTCCCAGTGAGGGATGGGTAATGGGCCCAGCCTGAAATGTTTCCTGATGAACATCCAGAAGCACTTTTTCACCATGAGGGGAACCAGGCGGTGGCRCAGGTTGCCATGGTGTGTGGTGAAGTCTCCATCCTTGGAGATACTCAAATACTGTCCAGACACAGACCTGGGCAATCTGCTGGATCAGGTTGGACCAGATGAACTCCTTTCAACCTCAGCCATGCTGTGATTCTGTGACTGGGTGATTCTGTGGCCAATCTGGGTAGATTGGTTTCTTTCAGTTTTCAGGTCAATTCTAGGTTACAATTATTAATTAAACTTTTTTTTTTAGTTTTGTTGTAAAACTAGCCAATTTTTAGGTAAATGCCTGGTAGCTTAAATTGCATGGGACTGTAGACACTTAAGTGTTTCAGAGGGCTCCTTCTGAATCCTGCACTCACGTGGCAAAGGCATTTCAGTAGAGCAGCCTTGAGGCGACAGATTCAAAGGGTTTTGTGTTGGAGGAAGAGCTACAGAAATACCAAAATAAGTATAAAAGAGCAGCCATCATTTGGGGAACATGGAATGAGGCAGCAAAAAATGTATTGACGCTTGTAAGAGCTGATGATGCAGAGTATCAGGATACTCATGGCAGCACAGGGATGGATTTCCTGGCCAGAAGGATGTGTTGTGGCGGCCCAGCCTGAGAGCAGCCTGACAGAAAGGGTCATTGCACTTGAACAAAAGTTTCTCTTTGCTTTCTCCGCTCCCCTGCCAGTCTTCATCTAAAATTACTTCTGCCACTTCAGGAGTGATTCTGGATTATCTGAAATGTACACTGAAATTAATCTTTGCTTAGAAAAGCAATCAGAACAGTAATCCTTGACTCATTGGGGTGGCTCAGCTGAGCCCTTAGCGGGGGAGGAATTTATATTGACCTCCTTCCTTGTGGGGAATATGTGGGGATGTTCCTATCTCTCCATCTGCGTACCAATGCCATGACCACTCTACTGCCCTGGGCACAGAGGATTTTGACCTTTCTCTGATAAACCTTTCTTCTGGCATGTGCCACCTGCAGCTGATTTCCCTGGCTCTGCATGAGGAGAGCAGAASAATCTGTGGGTTCAGAGTCACTTTTGAAGGTGACCTAGTTGCTGTGATGGTGAGAGCTGGCTTTGCTTCATCACTGATAGCCTCAGAGTAATTCAAGTCAGGCAAAGACTTCTGGAGGTCTCTRGTCCAACCTCTGCTTACACATGACTTTCTCCAGTTAAGTTTTAAATAATTACAAGGTTGGAGAGCCCATGACCTCTGTTTCAGTGCTTGATCACCTTTGCTTTGTCTCATAAGAGATCAAAATTTCACTTGTTCCAAACTTTTTTTGTTGCCTCTTGTCATATCTGAATGCCCCTTGGAGAAGTGCCTGAGCTCCATCCTGCTATGCCCTCAGGCCAATGGTTGAAGGCAGTAACAAGATCTCTTAACAAGATCTCTTTTTCTTAAGGCTTCCCCGCCCAGTAGTATAGTCTCTTTCTGATCCAGAAATACACAAAATTTAGGTGAGGCATAGAAAATGATTTTCCCCTCTTATCTCTGCTTGTCTGCCTATTCATTAGAGGTGTGAGGATGTACATAACTGCCAGAGGAGAGTAAAACTGCCTGGTCATACAGGCAGAGGGTGAAACTGGGAGGCAAACCCCATCCTGTGGTGAGCCCAAACACAGCAGTTTTCTTCCTCAGGGGAGTGGCAGTAGCTGGACATGGTTGTCCCTCTTTGCCCACAGAGTTTTGCCAGGGTGTCAGTGGGAAAATAAAGCGCTTCACTCTGGGGAATCATTCTGGGTCTTTACTGTTGCCCTGATCAAGCTGTAGACATTTGTCACAAGTTGGACAAAACGAGACCACACACCTGCACCATCCCTCACTGGAGTGGGATTAGCGTCAGAGAGCTTGTGCCAGCCATGAAGTATCTATTTGCTTTGCATTTTTTTTCTGTTTAATTTTGTACTTGCTACTTCACTTGCTTCCTAAAACTGTGGCCTCCCCCAGTGCTTGCAGTTAATAATTTCTTCTTCGGAGTGGGGTCAGGACGCAGCTGATGGCTCCCCATTGATTTGGGCAGYTTGCAGGAGGGCACAGGGCAGCCATTCCCACAGGGCAGGTGCCACCTCTGAGCTGTGTTTGTTGGTGGCTTCACACCTGCATTTCTGTCTGCTTCAAGATGGATCACAAACTGAAAGGTGAAGCTGTGATTGCTACGGGCTTAGACAAAGCTCTGCTTTCACTTGTCGSTGTTTGTAAGAGTTGTGACCTTGCCTGCCTGTGATCTCCCTTGGTGTCCTCACATCAACTACATGGCACCCAGGGACTGGGGAGATGGCCTCAGGTGCTAAAACTAGGAAGGGGTGGGGACACTGAATGGGGAAGGCTTTTTAGGTGCAATGATGCCTTTTTTTGCAGACKGAAGCTGTTTCACATCTGGTCGGGTTGTCTAAGGAGGGAGACTTCTTGAGGCCCTTGAATTCAGAGGTTGTTTTGTTGCTGCTAAATGGTAGAGCAGAGACCCCTCAGTAAATCTGTTCCCCAGAGTGTGAAACAAAGCATGAAGCCACTCAGCTCTCCCAGAGATCCTGCTCTGCCCTCACTGCAGCGGTAAGGCAGCCAGATCCTGGGAGCTGGTGAGGACCAGTTCTTTGGGACCACGAAGGTCTTGGCTCAAATTCACAGCAGCTGGGTCCTGGAGCACGTGTGGTGCCAGCACGTACATCTCTCGTGTTTGTCAGACTGAATTTGACCCTTTTCCATACATCAAGTGATAAGTGAAGGGTATTTACGGGMATTGCATGTGCACCACATTGTGAGCTGGAGAGCCTTCTGCAGTTTGGCTTCTGGCATGGCAGCTGCTGCACCTTATCCCAGCATTTCTCAGCGTGTAGTATAACGCTGGACTTGAAGCAGGACATGGCAGGCTCACAGACATGGCAGGCTCGCTAGTCTATCCAGGGCTGATTTCTCATTTCCATTTCCTTCTGTGATTCAATATATTCATCTTCATGTAATAACCAGCTGTAATTCAGTTTTAAAAGCCCGCACCATTGGGTTTGGCTCCAAAGTGCCCATAAATTATTGAGGGTGAATGAATGGAAGGTGAAAATGCAGTTTTCCATTTTGTCCTGCAGCTGCCARTGCTGTTCCGCCTCAGCTGTGCTGGCCTGGTGTTTGTGTGCAATGCTGTGATGTGGACAGTCTTTACAAAAGCCTTACGACTCTCCTCCTCCTCAGCTGCTGCCTCYGTGACRACAACAGCCTCCAACTTCATCTCTTCGGTGAGTAGACCTCATCCCCAGGTACTGAAGCCTGAGAAGCACAGCCTGAGATGGGAATGCCCACACTGGTTGTATCTCATCTCCCAGTGCAGCCAGCATCGCTGGGCACAGCCAGAGAGGTACAGGGAGATGTGAAATGATTGTGTCAGGCCTCAGCTGCTCTGATGGTTGTTCATGGCATAGGCAGTAGAACTTTTCTGGGTGGTGCAGGAGGGGTGCTGCTGCCCAGCRTGATGCATTGCAGCAGCAACACAGTTTATTGAATGTTTCTAATTTCCAGGGGGAGCTGGAGTCGGGAGCTTTGTTTAATTTTGCTTTTACTTTGCAGCACCTCACTTGTGACAAGCCAGACTCACCCTAGTTGGGCGTGAAGATGCATCACCTCTAGTGACAGCAAGAGCGTCTTTGACCTGCAGTTTTTTTCTACTCATTTTTCACTCTTGGCAGCGGTCCACCTTATTGCTGTGCTCCAGCTGGCAGACAGTTATGGTGGTGTCCAATAATTGGCTACAGTTGCCCAGTCAGTGGAAGACTTGGCTCCCAAGAAGTGCTGAGAAGGCAGCAAAGCACATGCACGTCTGCCAAAATCCTACTTTGGGATCACAATATGGCTGTGCTTCCAGGCTGGTGGTAGAGTTGGTCATCTCCAGCATCACTTTCAGCAGTTGTTCCTGTAACCCAGTTTAACAAGAACTACAAAGAGATGAGTTTGTCTAAAATCACAACCACTGTAGACTTAAACAATGGAACTATTGATAGTTCCTACTACAAGTAGGAGTTTCCTCAACCAAGTTTTTTTCCAGGGCTATCTCTCCCAGCAGAAGTCCTCACATTTCTGGCAGTGCAGGAGGCTGTGGAGCAGCTCAGCACAGCAAAGCTTTGTGTCTCTTTTCTCCTTCAGGCTATCCTGGGAAAATTGCTCTTCGGGGAGATGTGGACGCCTCTGTGGTGGGTCGGCCTTGCCATGACTGTCTGTGGGCTCATGCTGCTGCACACAGCTGCACCCCAGCTAGTGCAGGTTCCAGCAGAGAAGAAGGAATGACAGCTGCTGCAGGGGTCAKGGTGCCATGCTGCCTCTGCCCAGCCTGTCTCATGATGGCGTCCCCAGTCCCCACTGGCCTCTGAACACGTCGGCCACGGAGCTGCTGACCCTGCTCGCTGCGGATCTGCTGACTTGCATCGCATCTTTCCTGGTGGTGGTGTGGTGGCAGTGACAGCCTCAGAGGGAGCTGGTCAACTCTGAGTCAGTATTGTGAAAATTGGGGCCAGAGGCTTATCGGCCGCTCCTCCTCTTCACACCCTGTGGCTGTGGAGCTTTCCCAATTCGKGGAATGCTGAAAGTAAACATGGTGGTTGTGGAAGGTGTTTGTGCATCAGGATTTTTCCATGAAAGAACCTATCCCAAAACAGAAAAGCAGTCAGAATTAGATGCTGAAGGCAGCTGATATTTCTGCTCTGCTGTTCCTGGCTTCCCTTTCTGTCTCTTGAAAGGGCTCTGTGCCTGGTGCTACCTGTGGAGCCTTTCATTTATTCCTTCCACTTCCTCTATCAGTCACATACACCTTTTAATTTGCCGTTTGTATCTGACATCTTTAATTTTCACTTACCCATTCCTGATGTTACTCACTGGAATGTTGCTGCKCTTTCTTTTAAACCCTTTTCCAGAATAGGGTTTTGATTACACAAACTGTAATTTTGGTACAACAGGCAGCATATGAACAGTCAGCTGGAATGTCCATCCACCATCCCCACTCAAGTTGAAAATTGCTTTAATGTTTGGTCAAATGGAGTTTCTCAAGTCATGCTTTTTCTACACCTGTGGATAATGCATATTCCTGTTCATGAGATGTGATCAACCAGATCACTGGTATCCAGGTATCTGTTAAATTTTGTATCAGTGATCACTCTGTGTTCAGATGTCAGTTTGGTGRATATGTCACGAATCATCATTTTTAAGGTATCGGCTTCATTTCATTCCTCTGCCCACACCATTTTTTTTTTTTACTTGGAAGTTCTTCATTTGGAATCCTAATTAAGAAATACAATGATGCCTGTAAATGTATGCATCATGCTGGTGATATCACTTGTTTGCTCTGGGCTTGCCAGGTTGTCTGTGTCATCTTGTAATGACAGGTGAGTCACACTTGTGGCATGTGCAGAAAACCTAAGGACACATTTCTGTGAGTGTCTRTATCAGAGCCTGTCTGGTCTGTCATGACTAGCAAATCTGCGCCATATCAAGTGTAAAATAGACTTGTGGCTGGAAATGCCACTGGAGTTGGGTTCGTGCATTTTTCTTCTCTGATCAGAAAAAAGAAATGTCCTTGTCTCCCAGAAGAGGCCAAGAGCAGTTTGCTCCAGTGCCTGCCATCCTAACWCACCACATCTGGCAGCCATGTCCCAAGAGGGGCAAAGCCTTTGGCTCTCCCCTCAGTGTGCTCTCAAGTCTTCCCCTCAAAGAAGAGAGCTGTATATGTGGTGGAGGAGAGGGCAGAGTGCTCGGATTGCTTTTCCTCCTTACCGACAAGGGTCTTTGCACCTGGGAAGCTCTCTGGGTGGCAGCAGGGTAGGGTGGGACACATCCAGAAGCTGGAACTTGGCACAGTGACCYAGTATCCCTCATAGGTCTGCAGACATGACAATAACTACACATTTCTATGTCAGATTCCTTAGAGATCTGTACATGATGGAAGATTAACGATGCCTGACCTATTTCCCCTTGTTACTAACCCTTAGCCAGCTCTAAGCCGTTGCTGCCTCCATGCAAACGGCAGTAGAAGGACCAGACTCTGGTTAATTTGCCTGTTGCCCCATTTCCTCATAAACAGTATGGAAAGGTTTTTAACCTGGACAATCCTAGAACTGACATTTCTTTATTGCCATTGTTGTTGGAGGTCAAGGTTTAGGAGGTGTTTGCTYGTGTGCAGAATATGTGAACAGCACTTTACTTGGTGATGCTTACTTTAAGGTGGGTGAATGTAAACTAGAGCTGTAAATTCTGTCATAAATACTTGGAGGGAAAGGAAGCAAGTTTTCCTCCAACTCCCATGGGAAGAAAAGATTGCCTAGCAGGATTTATTTTACAGCAGAATTCCACTCCTCTTGTGTACACAGGGTTTGGCCCATGTCTGCCTGGAGGGACAGGSCTGCAAGGAAGGCTGCAATCACTGCATGGCAAAGCAGTGCACTTCTGATAAACAGTTCATGTGTGATCATCCAAAATGTGGCTGAAGGTAATAACTTTTTTTTTAAAGGGATGCTAGCATTTCCAAAATAAAACAGTGTCCAAAGCTCAATGGCTGATTTTTTTGAAGGTGTTTTAGACCACAACACACAAAAAAAAAGCGATGTGAGACTAATGAGTGAGCTGTTTGATGAGGCAGTGGTTCAGATGTGGTGGACTTTGTAAGGTGGATCTGAAGATCATGGCCAACTCCCAAGACCTTGGCTTACCAGGGCAGAAGGTGGWTTACCATTATGGGGGAACTACAGCAATGTGCTTGTGTGGGGTTTTTGTTCAGTTGAAAAAAGGTATTATTAGAGAAGAGTCTTGGCCACATGTTTCCACACAAATTCCAGCAAAATACACTTCTGTGTGCGCATCTCATAAACACGTTCATGTTTGCAGTGCTGTATCCACAACATTGGTGGATAGGGGCAAAGCCATGGACATTGTYTACCTGGGCTTGTGCAAAGCATTAGATGCTGTCCTACACAACATCCTTGTCTCTAAATCGGAGAGACGTGGATTTGATCCCAGGCAGACCTACAGGTTGGGCAGAGACATAATTGACAGCAGCCCTGTGGGGAAGGACTTACGGGTGGTAGCTGACCAGAAACCCAACATGAGCCAGCAGTGTGGACTGGCAGCCCRGAAAGCCAAACAAATCYTGGGCTGCATCAAAAGGAGGGTGRCCAGCARGTGGAGGGAGATGATGCTGCCCCTCTGCTCTCATGAGACCCCACTTGGAGTGCTGCATCCARCTCTGGTGCCCCCAACATGGGAAGAACATGCRACTGTTGGAGCAAGTCCAGAGGAGGCCATGAAATTGATAAGGGGATGTGAGCACCTCCCCTATGAAGATAGGCTTAGAAAGTTGGGGCTGTTCAGCCTGGAGAAGAGAAGGTTGCATGGAGAGGAGACCTCAWGGCAACCTTCCAGTATCTGAAAGGGGCCTACAGGGAAGCCAGAGAGGGACCCTTCATCAGGAACTGCGTGGTAGGGCAAGGAATAATGGGTACAAACTGTAAGAAGGGAAATTCAGGTTAGATAGATGGAAAGAAATCTTTACTGGGAGCAGGTTGCCCAGAGAAGCTGTGGATGCATTCCTCAAGGCCAGGTTGGATGAAGCTCTGAGCAAACTGGTCTAGTGGAAGGTCCCTGCTCCTGCAGAGGGTTTGGAACTGGATGATCTTTAAAGCCCCTTTCAACACAAACCATTCCATGATTCTTTCACCTCCCAAGTGCTGACTGTAATGAGTCTTTCCTGCACATACCTCTCATTCTCAAACACAATACTATTTTTTGAGCATCTTGTTAATCATCAAGCATGGCCATACCATGTTATAGTTAAAGAGTAGAAGAAGGCATATAGTTAACAGGAAGGCTCACAGTGGCATTCAGGAATATTCAAATAAGTATACTTGTATTATTGGTGGAAAGCATTAAAAAAATCTGYTGTATAAACAAGGTCCAGGAGTATTGTAGTCTAAGGTAAATAATGTCTTAAGGTAAATTAATTCTAAGGTAAGTAATGTACACCTTTACAAGGAACAAAGCCAAATGAAATTGTAGTTTCAGTTGAACCTKAAATTATAATTTGACTGATTAGATAAGGAAGTATACATAAAAACTTTAAAATGTCCCTGTTGTCATTGACAAGGAGTCACTGAAATTTGGAAAGTTTGTACAGCATCTCAATTACAGCATATATTGAAGTCACTTGAAAGATGGTATGTTTGCCAGGGTGATAAGTATTTGAAGTAGATGCAATAAGTAAGTTTCGTAGATTGTTCTGCCAAGTTTGGTATATTTWAAATTTTCGAGGAATTTGAATCAGTGCCCTCTCTTGACCCTTCAGAGACCTTAAATGATCACATTGCAAGAGTGTCCCACAGGCAGACATAATTACATGGTCTTGCAAGCAGTGGGGTATTTTTGAAGAAGGAAGTCCTATGATGAAACATGCCAGCAGAGTGGCCCTGACCTTGTCTGGCACAGAAAATCCATGAAATTAAGAATAARTGAGTACTAATCCTGACATGTTTAGTGTGCCAGGTTCTCTGCTTGCCTTCTGCAGAAGAGCAGCAGCAACTTTTATTTTGGGCACCTGAGAGGTGCAGAGGAAAGTCACACAGGAGGGGCACTTACCCACAGCAAGTATTGTGGTACCTGCATCTTACTTGGACTCAGAGAAAAATCTGGGGTGAGCTCAGGCCAAGGCTGAAAGCCTTCCCAAGAGAATCAGGGCTTTCCCCTAAAAAACAAGTGCATGGGTGKTGTACCATGTGACTTTTTAATGGAAGGGATTGAAGAAGACAACATTCCTAAAAATGTTGTCCTTCCTGGGGAAGGAATAAAGTGTTTTAGACTGTAAATCAACACATTCTGGCTTTAGGCAGATGGTTGTTGGTCTGAGTGTTTCAGTGCTCTTTCTAAGTCAAGTCTGTTTCTAGATACTTTAACACAAAAAAAGAAAGGTCAGCAACTTGTTTGTARAATCTGAAATGGGGTCCTGGGCCATGGACAGGGAGGAGAGGGAATCCCAGTGGATCAGGCAGGGGCATCCAGTCCCAGTGGTGCTGTCAGAGTTGTGACATAGTGGTTCTACCTGGAGCGTTCTTTCCAGTGCTGGACCTGCAAGTTCTGGTGGGGCATAGAAAACCGGTCTGGCTCAAGGACTCTGAGATGGCAGGGGCTTACAAGGAGAGGCTGAGGGATGGTTAGAGACAGGGAGGCTCAGGGTGACCCTGTCAGCATCCAACGTGTGCATGAAAGGAGTTACGGAGGCAACATACAAATGGCCAGCACTAAATGAGGCAAYAGGCACAGGCTCTGTCTTGGGACTTTCAAGCAGGCCATTGGGATAAAATCTCACTAGGAAGTTAGTTGCCAATACAGGCAGCAGAGTTTCTGCCAATGGAGGTTTTCAAGCCTCAGCAAGACAAAACCTCAACTGACTCAATCTAGTGTTGGTGASCATCCCATCTGGGCAGACAGTTGGATTTCCTGTGACCTAGGGGCTGATTTCATGATCAACACCATCTATAATTGGAAACTGGTTTGACCTTCTGCCTCCATGTTRGCAGTTTCCATTAAATCCTGCTGTGCCAGAGAAAGGAGGTTCCTCCTTAGGCACGGTGCAGACCTAGGCTGCCAGAGGCTTGTAGTCTAACCACAGAAACCATGATGGACATTTGCATGTGCGTTCAYAGCCTGAAAACAAATTTATCAAGGGAGAAGGACTCCACGATAGTGAAGTGCTTTGTKAATTTGAGCCTTTGCTGGTTGAGGGGACAGCACGATGGGTGCAATGTTTGTGTTGGCTCCCAGGGCAGGGCTGTGCTGGCTGCCAGCACGGGGGACCTGGAGGGATGACCGGGAAGCCTGGACCTTGTGGTAGTGCTTCCCATAGCTGTGTGCAGCACGGCGGTGACCCGTGTCTAGGGGCAGCATACACAGGAGGGTGTTTGCCCTGGGAGCAGCCAACCAGCCAATGCTCTTCACTCCCCAAGGAAATTTTTTTTGTTTCTGACTGTTCATAATACCTTAAGTTGTTTCAATTTTTCCTTGAGGTTTAAGGAAGGGTGTCTGTGAGTGGCTGTTCTAATTACCAACGCTTCCTAAGCAGCTCCTTTCACRCCCTTGAAGTCCTGAGGGATTGCTGGTGCTGGGTTAAAGCCTGRGGAGCTCCTGGGTGGGGCCTCCCACTCCCATTTTGCTGGGGGGAGATGATGCATACCCTGCTCAGCCCTGCACAGCTCTTGCACGACACAGAGGCTCCACTGCACCCTGCGGGGATAAATCCATGACAATGGAAATAAGTGAGAGGGAAGGGCTGCAACAAGTGGTAGTAGGTGGGTGTGGTGGATGTGCTACCACTTTTTGTACATTTTGAACCTGTTGCTCAGTCTCGCTTGTCTCAGAGGTCACTACGAGCYGTGGTTTCATCCTGCTTGGGAGAGTCAGGGCTGGGGATCATCTGTGTGAGCAGCTCAGGTCTTCCCTTGTCACAAGTGGAGCAGCTCTGGTTTTGCAGCAAGAAGTGAGAGTCAGACAGCTCTGCTTGGCACTGAGACCTGCAGTGTGCAGGGTCTGAAAAGCAGCCAGGGCTTCGACCCTAATTGCTTTCAGTAAGGCAACACTTAGGGACAGATGAGCAGTGCCCCAGGGAAGGATGAGGCATTACAAATACTACATTTTCCTCTGCCACTCGACTGTTTCCTCATTCAGAGAGGAGGTATTTTAAATGACTTGTTCCCCTTAGGACACTCCAGAGTTAGGCAATCACAAGCATGATTCTGCCAGGAACCAGTGTTGCATGAAAATGCTTCCTAGAAAACCCTGGTGGGTATGGAGTGAGAGCATCATGAGCTGCTGTGAAGGACAACAGCCTGGATGCTGTGACAAGGGGTGGTGGGAGTATGCTGGCTTGRTT